GAGAGAGAGAGAGAGAGAGAGAGAGAGAGAATGAGAGAGAGAGAGAGAGAGAGAGAGAGAGAGAGAGAGAGAGAGAGAGAGAGAGAGGGGACATAAAAGAGGGAGCCAATATTGGTTTGAAGATAAAATTGAACACAAAGAAAGGTCTAGAGAACTACAAGACTGCTGCCAACTAACAATTTGAGCTTCTGTGGAAAGGCTATAATAAATGCCCTTCCCGGAGATTAAGATCAACAACTAACTTCTCCATGGAGCCCTCAACTAATGCCTGTTGGAAACAGGAGCAAACACCCATACATAAACACTGAGTCGAAGTAGAACCCAGATGCAGATGGAGAGGACAAGACCAGGCGGCAGAAACACACAGAGACAGCTTACCTGAACAAGGAGGAGCTAACAGGCCACCAGACTGATAGCTGGGAAGCCAGCATGGGGCTGACTCAGGCCCCCTTGAATATGGGTCTCAGCCAGAAGGACTGAGCAGTCTAAATGACCTCAGACAGTGGAGCCAGGATGTATTCCTGGTGCACAAAATGACCTTGCTGACACATCCCCCATGGAGGATAACTGCCTTAATCTAGAGACAGGAGAGAAGCCCTAGTCCCTACTTCTTATGACCTGTCAGACCTACATGACCCCTACTGGATGACATTCCCCTACATATGGAATTGGGGTGGGGGGATGGGAGGGTGGTTATAGTGCATGTCAGAGGGCAGAGAGGGTAAAAGGGAGGGAGGGAAGGAGGGAGGGAGGAAGGAAGTGAGGGAGGTTGGGAGGGAGGGAGGGAGAGGGAACTGGGATCGACATGTAAAATAATAAATTAAATTAAAAAAAAATGCTTTGACTCCAAAATTTAAGTTCAAGGACAAGTTACTGGCAAAAAGGATTTCTATTTTTGTTTCCACAGAAAATGAAAAGCTGTGGATTCCTTCCAGACTAATGTGGTTTGATCAAGCCAGACCACCTGAAACAGAGTACCAAGTGATCCTACATGCAAAACAGCTGGACAAAGCAGCCTGACAGACTACAGCCAGGATTTCTGAATCTTCTTCGAATCCCCCCATGACAGCACCCCCTGAATTGATGGTTTGCAGAGCGAATGAGTCAAGTGATCATTCTTTATATATAAATCTTTTTAAAATTTCTTTATTTATTTTATATAACCAAGTCCATTTAAATGAAAACAAACATTTATAGACAATATTTGGGAATTTGGGCGTCGTTCTTTCCAAACTACTTCCTGCTGGTAAGGGGTGCAAATAAGCCTCTCTCTGTGAGTTTATTCAGGGCCAAATGGCTGTGGATCCAGGAAAGACAGAAAACACCATCTACATTTGTGTATACCAGGTTATGTCTTAATGACAAACAGGCTATTCCTGATGGTTTTGAATTGATCTAAAAGCCTTCTCTCCTATGTCTGATGAGTCTCATCCTACCATGTTGTAAGAGAGTTTTCACACTCTAAAAGCCAGGATTTACCATTCCAGGAAATCTCTGGCCCTGAACCTATTACCTTGTTATGTCCTACCTATGAAGTTCCTAAAATTTCCACAAAAATTGGCAGCAACTTTGTGGCAAAGGTCCAAAACTTGAGTTGTGAAGGGGGCATTTGAGCTTTAAGTTGTATTAATAAAGATATGAGACTTGCTGGGATATTTAGAAATGGAGAGTAAAGAAAAAACAGAACAGGAAATTGAAAGGCAGTTGGCAAAATTAGAGGTAGTAGAGGATTAAAAAGAGGCCAGGCAAAATGTCACAAATGATAGTGACATGTATCAAGAATCATGGGCAGGACTTGGGCAGCCACTAAAGTCATGAGCAATTGAAAATTCCTGAAAGTTGAACACAGTTATAGCCTACATTTTCAATCCAAAAAGGCATAGTTGGTGGGATAAGATATTTAGGTTGAGTAAACAGATAGATAAAGATGGCAACTAAAATTGACATTGTTGGAGTTGACTGGAGGGAGTGAACGAAGGTGCATCTCAGAAAGACAACATGATTGAGGGGCATCATAGCCTAGAAAGTCTATGTGGAAGTCAGATATTTGGGGGTGTAAAGAACACAGGAGTTGGATGATGGAAGATAAGGAAGGTTTCTCTGATCACAATGATTACAGTCAGGCCTAAGAATCCCTAATCTGTTTTGGCTGCCTAACAGTTCTAGACACCATAATCATCAATGACTACTTATATTAGCTTATGCAGCATATACTAAGATTCTAATATGGAATCTTCTCTCTACGGATGGAGTACTGAATAGTGAATGATTAGTGTTTATATTTTATCAAATACTTGTTTGTTTAGGTTGTGCCAAGTAAGGCTCAACTTGCTGCTGGAAAGAGTTCATTGAGCACAGCTCCAACATTACTTCAACTAAACACAATGTAATATAAATTCTCAAAATACTTCATCATAATTTGGTCAAAATCCTTTATTTGTAATTGTGTGGTAAAACATTCTAGAGGAAAAGGAGAGATGAATATATTCAAGATACATTTTAGGCATATAGGAGAATTTCAAAAATTACATAAAAATATTCTTTTTATTAAAAGTTCAATACTCAAGTTTACATATATATATATGACACAGAATGTTTCAAAAGGCCTATGTAGTTGGGCAGCAAGTAGTGGTAGTTCCCATGTATGATACTTGTTTTATCCTTGGGTAGTTCAAAAGTACCACTGCAGTTCATTAAGCTGCTTATTAGATGATTCAGAAGCCAGTCTGGAAAGAAGCAAGAGATTCAAATTTCTCCCATCTGTAATACCTTAGTTTATTAAACTGAGTGCTTATGATAAGGTAGGCCATATAAAGAAGTACTCTAAAATTTGCTAAACTTACCACAGTGCCCTACTGATTTATAGATATTTTCCAATATTTCCTAGTACATCTGATGGAAACCATATTTCTGGGTACTCTTATCCCGTTTACCCAGTGTGGAGAATACATCACACACCCCTGCTTACCCCAAGCTTTGTCTGTAATACTGGATGCTATTACTCAAAGCCAGTAAACAGAGTTTGCCATCTTTCCTTTCAAAGGCAGCAATATGCATACCATGGGGAAGATGTTGTAGCTCTTGGTACCAAATAGCTGCATCTGAGATATAACATACTCATGTAAGTTTAAACAAATACTGGAGAAGGACACTGGTACCAACTTCAGAAGGTATTGTCAAGATTTAGCTACAGAGTTGAATCCAGACTAGTTGTTTTTTAATTTCCCAACTAGCAATGGGCTATGTTTTCAAAATTCAACAGGCTTTAAGGGACTTCAGTGATGATGGAGTTTCCTTTAAGTTGTCTATTTTCATTTATTTTTATAGGCTGTGATGTTGGCAGTATTCAAGTTATCTTTCCATGTCATTCCCAGTACATGCAGCCATGATGGCCTAGGATGGAACAGTCTGAAATGAGAATGCCAATTAAGGCTCAAAAGCAGTCTTGCAATAGACTTGTTTAGATATAATTTATTATCAACTGATGCCAGCAATGATGTGTAAGAAGTGAAACAATTGTTTGTTGCTATTAAGCAAGAAAATTGATACAATCAGGACCAATCAATGTGGATGGGTCCTCAAAAACATGAAAATTGATCTACCATAATATCAAGTTATCTCTTTTGACCTTATAAACAAACACCCTACATCTTATTACAGATGGTTTTATATCTATACTAAACAGTGTCCAAGAAATAAGCACTCATTTCTCAAAAATTTTACAATATTTTATGAAATCCCTATAAACAACTACCTATAAACACAACACTTGAAATTTTATCAGGTCTTTTAACACACAAAGGACCCCTGTGCTACATTACTTCACTCTGTTGTGGTTCATTTATCTTCCTTTGAAGGTCCACCATCTCCTCCTAGGACCCATTTGTTAAGCTGACTCAGAATAAGAATTCCTCAAAAAAAAAAAAAAAAACAAATGCCTTAAATATTGGGGTGCCAATATTTTAGGATGTATTTGGAACATCAGAAAGTCAAATGTAATTAGAAGAAGTTGAACATGGCTATATCCTTGAAGGATAGACTACTGGCTCTGTAACTCCTTTCAGAACTCTGGATTCTCCACACTAATGTACGAATAATATCACCTCTTTGCGATGTCTTCTTCCAATGTCTCAAAAAGATGCTATTCATGGTCACTCTCTTTCTATCTTCACCCAAATTCAGGCACTTGCTGCTGTAATTACTGACATTGTTGTGAATCTGAGATGATACTGGATACTCCAGCACAGCCCTCTTTAATGATAATGAAGACCAAAAGGTGACAACATCTTCCAAAAATTGAAATGTCACATCATTGATGGGTGGAGGAACATAGAATAAAAGCAGGCTTGATTAACCTAAAGAGAGTGCTGAATAAATTGCTGCATATAGCTTGAATTGTTAATATAAATCTCTAATCAAACCTGGAGAAGATGCTCTTTCTCAATAGCTTGTGCTAACATAGTCCCATGAAAGGTATGATTCCAACTTTCATATGTGATAGAGTATAGCTACATACTGGCCCATGGCAGGTTGTGGCTCCTACATCTGTATCAGCTCCAGGCAAGTAATCAGGAGCTTGCCCATAACAGATGTTTGGGCACTTAGGTTATGAAAACCATATTAACTGAATGAGGTTTCCTTTTTGAAAATTTATGACTTAAACAGTAGCTGTGGTTTCAGAGTCTTGTGCCTGTGGAGTTTGACTTCCATATCCAGCATGTTATATGTACATCCACCCTATGTGAAATGTGGGGATAATTTTTTGAAAACATATTGAGCATGTATACCTCAAGGCAGCCTGGCCCAAAGAAAAGCTGTGAAACAGGTCTTATACAAGGTGAATAGGCCTGGATGACAAAAGTATTACAAGAACTGGGTTAAAGTCCCACCACTGAAAGAAACCTGAATAACCCTAAGGTTTACCTTAAATAGACAAATGTGTTTCCTGAAGAATGTTTAGGTTGTTTCTTTTTTCATGAAAAAGCATTTAGTTTAAGTACCTATTCTGTATCCTTTATCCAATGAAAGCAGAGTATGGAGAGAGGGGAGGATTGACTCATAAGTACAAAGGGGCTCAAAGTAGGAAAAGACAAAGTAGTAATGATTGTGATATACATCAGAAACCAATTTTGAACAGACAATAGAGCACTGCAACCATGTGAGATGGTAGAAAGGGTATAAATAGCCAGAAAGATAAACATTCGGAAAAAGATGTTCTGGGTAGCTCTGGATTCTGGGGAGTTACTGTGGAAAACACAAGTACTGCGAATATTGTGAACTTTCTCTTTGTGCCTATACAAAAAGACAATCATTAAGATGTTGGACCATGTGATCAGGACAGAAAATAGAAGCTCAGGAAACACAGATAAAACTATATATAAGGACACTGTGATTTTGTCATGGCCTGCAACAGTATAACGTTCAAAGCCTGTCTCTTTTGTTCTGTTTTTTCTTCTTAATTGTGTGGACATGTACAAAGGGAAAAGAATGTTTACCATGATGTACAAGATCCAGCAGATAGAAATGTAGATACCAATGTCCTTGGGAGTTTTGGCTTTAAGTTTCTTCCAACAGGAGTTTCCAGGGATGATGATGATGACCGAGAAGACACTCAGGAGAGAGAGGGTAGCAATGGACATGCTCCTGAAAACTCTTTGAACATACATAAAAAGTTGATAGCTCCAATCATTGAAGAAATATTTCAAGCCAAAAGTTGTCATTGTGTGGCCCATTCCTTTAGAGAGAATGATCAAGAAGTTAACCATGATCAGATGGATGCTAATTAAATCCATGGGCTTTACTTTGTGTTTCTTGTAATATATAAATAGGTAGTAAGAAAGAAGAGAAACATTTCCCAGAAGTCCAATTGTATTCTCTAGCAATAATATTATTCCTATTCCCAAATTCCTGAAGTCCATTTTATTACTGAGCAAAATTTACTTCAAAATATGCCAGCAATCACTTCTCAGAATTTTGTTTTAATTGCTGAAAAGGTCCTGTGTACCTGATGTCACAAATGCACAAGAATCACATTAGCTGCAGTGTGAAAACACAAGATTGTCAGCAAAAAATAGACTCTGTTCATACAACCTCACACAGGTATTTTAGCACTAATGACAATGGTCTATAGGAACTGCAGAAGCCTCAAAATGCACATATTAATGGAGTAAGTTCCGATTACATTTCTCACAAAAGTCAGCACTAAGAATAGGCCAAAGTTATCCTGCCAGAAGCAATGGCCAGTGAGTTCAAAATGAAAGAATGCTGAATTCTACAAGTCTACCCATATGGGGGGAAAATGTCTTCTCTCGTCATTTTCTCCAAGAAAGAAATTCACTGTGAATGACTTTCTCCTGTCAATGTTAACATTAAAATTGAAAATATTACAACAGAAAAATGTTTTCTATCCTTTGGCAATTATGTTCATTACACAGCACTAATCATTATGTGAAGAAGTTGAATGAGGTAATGTTATACATTAAGAGATAATGCCTTAAGTTACAACCCCTACACATGCCCACTAAAGAATGGTGGTGCAGAGTTGAGAGGTGGACGGAGGAGACATTCTTTTGCATTAATGTTATCTAACACATTGCAGAGAAAACAGATGAATGATCCCAACATACATTAGTTAGAAAAAGATAATTTATAAATAATATATAAGGGAAGAATGCCCATCATTACAATCTGATCTATTACCTGGCGCCTCACTCAGCAGTAGAAATATGAAACCCGAGTCTAGGAAACAGTAGTTCTTGACAAACATATGAACACCACAAGAATCTTGGCTCTGCTGTTCACATTAGTTCGAATAATTACACATATGAGAGGCTGTGAGTGTATAGAATACATGAACACCTTAATGTAGAAAACCTAGCATTTATGGAATAGATAAGCCTTCCTAGTACTCAGGACTTATAGCCAACGAAAGACTTGAAAGGAAAGAATACAAACCATCCATACCTGTCCATAAGCAATGGAGTTACTAATATTTTCATAATGCTATAGTTTATAACAATATACATGAAATCAGGAGTGCATTCACAGCACCAAAATGTACTGAAATCTACTTAAAAAATGTAAGAGATCTTTCACTATGATTCAAGCTATACAAAGATTAATACTGGGAAATAGTGTTCTTGTCTTTCACAGTTTAGCAGAGACATGAACCTACCTCTAATAGTTTCCACTCCTGCCAATAACACAAATAGAACTCTAGCATTGATGCAAAGACTTAAATAAAAAGAAAGCTAGTTAAAATATTTTCTATAGTATGATTTTATTTTTCAGACACTTCTTCAATAATGCAAGTTGGCTTGGAAAATGCAATAATCTTCCTGTGTTAGTCCATGGTTTCCTAGTGTTGATACCTCAAGCCAGCCTTCAGTTTCTTAGTCAATGCGTAAACTTGGGACGTTATTTTCATTTATGATCTGTGACAATATAAACAAACATACAAATTCAAGGATATGTCTGTTTTAACACAAGAGATGTCAACATTTTGAAGACAATGTACTGCAGTGGAATCTGTCCTGTGTTTCGGAATCACACATAAAGACTAGAACCTGGAGAAGTTGTAGAAAAAATGAAATGATACAACAAAGAGAGAAAGCATTCAGGATTTCATCTTTACCATAAGACCAGGAATTGCCAATGTAGACAGTTATTAGTTAAGCTGTTAGAATTTTGCCTTACCAGAAAAAGATATTGTGTTCAATCTCCAAAATTCAGATAAAAATCTGGATTCAGGAACTCACAGTGATAATTCAAATAGTAGGTAAGTGTCAGAGTCAGTTAGATCTCTAGGTGAGGCTCACCAGAAGGCCTAATATAACCTTGGAATTTCAGATGAGTGATAATCTCATATGATCAGATGAGTGGAAGAGAAAAATATTGGAGGAACAACTGAAATTTTAGTCTGACCCATCACTTTCTCATAAGTTCATAATTACCTGAACACAAGAAAGCTGCTACACACAGACATGAAGACATATGTACACAGTAAGACATTGAGTTATCAATAATTTCCATTTAAAAGTTTTATTTATATTGCCTTTGTCTTGTCTATTTGTAATAAGTCAAGACTCTTGAAAATCTTATAAATAAAAACATATACATGGATAGAATTTATAATATATGTAATCTTATGGATTATATAATTAGAAGATCAAGGGGTAAGTATGGTATGAGGTCTAGATTTAACCTCTATCCTGATGAATATAAGGCTCTAAATTCTGGAAACTTCAGTAATGAAAAGTGAAAAAACCATCATGGGATAGCTGTAAATACAGAATATCAAAAAAAAAAGAAAGAAAGAAAGAAAAAGAAAAGAAAAAGTAAAAGAAAAAGGTGTGTGGGGTGGGGGAGAATGACAGAAATTGTATGTGTACAAGACAAGAATTTTGTAAGACTCACACTGACATTGCCATCTAAACTTTAACATGGTGTCCCCAAGTTCAAAATGGAAAACAGTGACCATTAGGGAGACAAAGATCCTGCCCAGTCACAGAAACATTTTCCCCAGGAGGACAGATCCTGGCTCTTTCCTAGGATTAGATTATTTTCTTAATTCCATTTCTATAGCCTATTTACAAACACAAAGTCATGTTCCAAAATTTGTGATTGTCATGCTGCAAAATTAATTTGTGATTCATGTGCACAATAAATGGAAACCTGAATGATGCATTTGAGGAAATCCTGGACTACCTTCTAAATTATATATTTTTAGATTTTATAGTTGTCAATAGGAAAGCTGAGAGAGGATTTTGTTGTACTTTTGCTACATGAAAACTTAGCATGAGTTTATGGATACTGTCTTCTCTTTTTAAGTTAATGCTCTATCTCTTGACTAAATCTCTATAGTTCTCCTCCTACCATGAACTAATTTTAAGAGTTGTGTACTTACCAGACCTGCTTTCCCTGATTTTTTGCCGTTGAGGATGAAAAACAATATGCCCACCTGACTTTTCTCTCTGAAGAACATTCAACACAATGTGCTGCTCCTGACATGTTAGTCAACACTATGGGTGAGAGAGGCAGCCCAATCCTAAGATATAGGTTCACAACACCATGATATCAAATCCCTTCAGAAGTGCAATTCTTTCTCAAGAATAGTCATGATGACAAAGCTAGATTTGGGAGCCAAGAACTTTTTTGAAATTTTCAAATTGATTATTGGCAAAGACAGTGACAAGTTCCTTGTAAATGTATCCAGTGAGACCATGTGTTTGGAGAAGTCCTTATATTTTTCTGATCCCTGATGACTGACAAGGATGAAAGGTCCAGTGAGTATCAAATTCTCATGTGAGAAAGTACTGTAAGAAAGTATGTTTAATCTCTTTGGATGTGCATAGTCTTCCCTAAGGTTTTCTAAACAAATCAAGTTAATTATTAACTTTTGGATCCCAGTGCTGTTCACTTTTAGCACACCCCACTGAACACAATCAGTCATGAGTTTTGGGAATTCTGAAGTACAAGTAAAAGAGAAAGAGTGACATCATAATCCAAAATAGAAATCATTGCTTTCAATGGAACTCAATGAAATAAACTAGGAACAATACTATGAAAATATGATTAAATATTTAGAGATATAAACCTAGCAATGAACTGCAAGTCTCAACAGATCCCTATCCTAAAAGAATTTATATATGTACTCATTCCTCACAAATGACATCATATGTACTCAATAAGATTCACATAAAGAATTGCCAATTTCTCTTTTATAAGTGAATAGAAGCCAGAATAATCTAGTTGTTTTATTTTTTACTAATCACATAAGGAATATTAATTCCTTATCAGTGAATAAAAGGCCATGAAAATTAAACGTTATAAATTTATCTTTTATCCACGAAGAATCTTGCTTTCAGTGTTTTTGGCCAACATTGAAGTCAGTCAATACCATCTACACCAGACTAACATCGGTTCCATCACACTAAGTGCCTTTGGTTAGCAGTTGTCTGTGGGCAGCCGCCAGCAGAACGCCATTACAAGATGGCGAACTTCCTCCTTCTTGCACCCTCGGTGCCTTACCTTATTTGGGCATATGCCTGCCTGATGGTAGTACTCCGGTGCGCTTGCTCGTTCCCTAGCCAATCCCGTGGCTCAAATGCTGTGGCGAGGTCCTCTGAGCCTATGAGATTGCGACCCGTTGCCTAGTAGCATATATAAGCAGCTGCTTTTTCCTCCCCGGGGCCCCTCACCTTCAGCTCTCCCTTCAACCAAGAAGTGCTCCAATAAAGTGTGATCTGAGAAGAATCCTCGTGTGGTTGCCGTCTGTCCTGCGGGTCGGGCTGGGCGCGCCACAGTTGTCTGTGTGCTTCAATAATTCTTTAGAATAAGTTAATATCATAGTATTATGATATTAGTATCATAGTATCATAGTATCATAGTATACTTAGTATGGCGAAAGAATAATTCCCCAGGTATAAGAAGATAGACTAAAAATAAGGATAAAATCCATGCACACAATGTTCTTGCCCATCTAGGCATATTCTCTACTACATGTCCAACAATGGCATGCATCCTGATCTTTCAAATTCTTTCAAATTGCACCACTCCTGATGACAAGGAGCCTGTGGGAACAATTATTTTTCAACCTGGCATATCCTGTGAATAGAAATATTTACATAAAGTCAATTCTGATTAACACAAATAGAGAAAAAAGTGGATTGTTGTTTTCACCAAACTACCATTGGGGTGAACAGTTTCTCTGGAGAAACATTTTGAGGGTCTTTAAGATTTTTTCACATTCCCTACTGGCTGTTAGGAGCCAGAGAAAGTTCTGGATTTCTTTCCATGTTCATATACATGGATCCTGGCAGTATAAGTCAGCATATATCACTCAGACCATATTACAGTAATGTGGGGACTGTGATCAGTTAATGTTCATATCTCCTTCTGAATGGAACATTCTAGACATATTTGATACATACAGGACATTTATTTTGATATGCCATTATCATCC